GGTTCATGTAGTTTTTTCCCTGCAGGAGCTTCTGACACAACATTTAAACTCTAACAACACAAACGGTGTCGTTGTTGGTAACTTGTGCGTCCGTTTGAGCTCCGTGTTGTGTTTTTTTTTTATCGTCACAAACTCAGACCAGACGAGCGTTTCAGGTTTCACGTTTTAATAACAGATCTCCATTTACAAACCGAACACGGTGACGTCGTTCTGCTGCTCGGCTGTCCAGGGACGGCGTGTGTGTGTTACAACCAGTGTGTGTGTGTGTGTGTGTGTGTGTGTGTGTGTGGTGATGACGGAGGAGGCAGAGTTCACACAAACAAGATAAAACAGAAATAAATCTGATGTTTGTTCTGAAGGTTTGAACCATTTCTGTGCAGAAAAAAGGCTTCGAGAGGGTTAGTGTTAGTGACATTAGGACGAATTCATCCCACATTTATGTTGGTTTTTGTTGGTTTTTTGTACGTTCTGCAGCCAAATGGATCCTTTAACCTTCTTTTAACATGAAAACATGAAGCCTGACTTTTAACCTTCTCTCCTCTTTCAGCAGCAAAACCAGAGATGGATGTTTCTTGTTTTTACTAAATGATGCACAAACTTCAGTCTGATCCTGTTTTTTAAAGTCGATTTATTTTTGAAATCGATTTTTTGCAGCGTCTCGTATCATCTGAAACTCAAAGAACTGCAGCATTTGTTAATAAACTCGAGTGAATTCTGAGTTTCTTCGGGTGTTTCACGTTTTAACTCTGATTTTAGTTGAATTTAGTGACATTAGGATGAATTTTTTTGCACATTTTTGGCTCTGATTTCCGTCTAATTGTTGTTTTTTTGCACTTTCTTCCTGCAGACGGTCACTTTAAATCTTTTCTGCGGCTGAATAAATCCTTGAACCGTCTTTTAACATGAAAACATGAAGCGTGACTTTTAAACTTCTCTCCTGTTTCAGCAGCAAAACACAAAACCAGAAGTGGATGTTTCGGGATTTCTTTAAACTTCAGCCGTAACTCTGTTTTTATCTGTTTGAAACCAAAACAACTGCAGGATTTATAAATAAACTGGAGTGAATTCTGAGCTTCTCCGACACTTTAACTCTGATTTCAGGTTGTTTTGAGCAAGTCGGAGTTCCGAAATCCGACTAAACTAGAGTTTGTGTTGAACTTTAAACCCCCACAGACTGAACTGAGGCCACAGCCGGAGTTGATTCAACTGGAATTTGGGCTTCGATGACAATTAAACCAAAATAAACGCCTCCTAAGACGAGGAAGAAACAGAAGAACTGAAGATTTGTCGCCACGGAAACAGTTTTGTCTTATTTCATCGGCGGGTCACAGGATCGGTTCAGTGACTTCTAGCTTTAGTTTATGTTCTTCCAAGAAAACTTAAATCTAGTCAGTAATTGTTAAAAAAAAAGTTCAGAAATGACTTTTAAGGCAAGTTTTTGTTGCTCCTGTTGCAGATAAAACGCTCCATCGAACAGCAGGATGGAGCGTTTCATCTGAGCTAAAGCTGAAGATTCACGTTCAAACCAAACATCCAGCCGCTACAGTGATTTGATTTCACCGCTGAGGAGAGAAAACACATTTTATCTGCAGTCGAGGAGGAAAAACGTCACAGAAAGAGTCAAAAATGGAAGAAAACCAGAAAAGGAACGATTAAAACCAGTGACGGAGACGAATCAGGACGAGTTAAACCTGCGCTGCTGTAAAGCCTGTTCACCGCCGAGGATCAGTTTCCACGTCGAGGCGTTAATTCGGCGCCGACGTCGAGTCCGGAGGCGACGGACATGCCGTTGCCATGGCGACGGGGATGAGCGCTCCAAGGGCGCGACCTTGACTCTGCAGGAAGGAAGTGGCAGGCCGACGACACGACGACACAGAGAGAATAAAGAGAGAATAAAGAGAGAATAAAGAGCTCGGCAGCTTCACAGGTGGAAGTTTAAACCCCAAAAAAAATTCAAAGTGATGCTGCAGCTTCTGAGAGAATAATAATCAAACATTCAGTCCGTTAACGTCTTTCATAACGAGCCTCTAAAGCAGCACGACATCAAACCGTCACGTCGTCGCTGCACCGAATCAGCTCAGCAGCTAAATCCAAACGATTCAGGTTTTTATCGAACTGACTTCTCGTAAAGTCGAGTTTCATCAAAGCTGCTTCATGTTTGTGATTAAACAGCCTGGAAGCTTCACGACATCAGGCTGCTTCAACACATTTAACGAGAAACATTAGAGACGCTGATATTCATGATGTTTGGGGAAAAAAAAGGTTTTTAAAAGTGACTTTAGTTGTTTTTTTCCAATGCACTAATTAATGAATCAACTTAATTCACCGTTTTTACACACATCTGCCCAAAAGCAACGATTAAAATGCAGATAACAGGAGAGTATTTTGTCATTTTAACCACAAACTGTTGCTAATTGATGCTTTAATCGACGCACTAATTGATGAATCAACTAATTGCAGCTTCAAAGAGCATAAACTTCGCCTCGTCTGCTTTAAAACAACTATGAAAGTGCAAATAATAAACTTTTGTTTGCTAATCAGGAGTTTATTTCGCAATTTTAGCCAGAAAATAATTCCCAAATTCATCTTTTTGCAAATCAAACAGTTGGTTTTTGTTGTTTCTTTATAGGATGAACTTTGAGCTAATTAAGGATCACTTCATTTACAGCGTGGCCTCTCTGCACTTTTCACATCATCCTGTTAGATTTTTTTTTGCATTTGCCAAGTTTTCTTCATCGTTTTGAGCTACTAGATGCTTCAATTTCGATCTGAATCAAAAGCTAAATTCGGTCCCGTTTCCTTTCGGTCCGTCGAAGCCGTTCTTCTGCACAGAAACGACAAAACAAAAAAGCCTGAATGTGCAGCTCGGGATGGACTGTGGGGGTTTTTATTGTATGTGCAAACTCCTGCAAGAGGCAATTCAGGTGCAACAGGAATGAAGACAGCCGATGGGACGCTACACCGTCGGGGTTGTGTGTCTGTGAGCCGCTCCGCTTCAGGAATGTGCGACAGTGTGTTGAGTGTTTGACTTTTTTCTCTCCAGACGTTTGAACCGACAGCTGGACTCTACGGACTCGCTGTTTCAAACCTGGGCTTCTTGCTTTCGGAGAAACTCTATCACACAAAATAAAAACACATTGACATCTTCAAGTTCCCTAAAACAGCAGACATTCGATTTATAACTGTGTTGTTGCTATGTACAATAGAAGGATCTTCATATATTAATACTCTTCATCTTTTTTTTTTTTCATCCCGCCGCTTCGTCTTCGTCGCTGCTGCCGAGTCATCGATTCCGTTTTGTCCTTTTTTTTTTGTTTGTTTTGTATTTATAGAGTATTTTCATTATGTACAGTATAAATTACTACACAGTCTCGTGGTAAAATAAATAACTTAAATACATGGCCGTGGCTTTCGCAGTGTCTCTAGCACGAAGGAGGAGGGGGATGGAGGGACGGAGCCTGGCCGGACGTTTGCTCCCGGTCGCTTCCGTTCGGTTACAGACGTGGAGGAGAAACGACGTTGGTGCAGTTTTGTTTCTTGTTTTTTTTTTTTTTTTTTCTGCGGAGAAACACGAAGGGCTGAAGCTGGGAATTAAAGGTCATTCCCACGGTGGCGTCGGGCGGGAAACTCCTCCCGAAAGAAGGTCAATCCTGGTCTGGGTGCTTGCGTCTGGGTTTTGGCGGACGTCCACTTAGTTTGTTACCGTCTGATTGGAAAACCAGCCGTCAGCGGTGGACGACTACGAGCTACTGGTCTGAAGTCGATGGAGGAGGCCATCGTGATGGTGAACTGAACCGCGGTAGAGTCTCTGTGAGCAAGAACGAGTTGCGAAATTTGAATTTTGAACAAAACTCTACATATATTCCCTCCAAAGTTGGTGTTTTAAGTCTGTTTTTTTTGGCCAAAAGTATGCGGACACCTGAACATGACAGGATTGATTTGTTGATTAGACCAAAACTTAATTGGTCCGATAACCTCTGGTGGCACTTTTAGAAGGAGAAAAGCTCCACATCAACAAGCTTCCAGGATTCATCCATTATTTTGGCCTCAGACTTTCCGTGAAGCCTCGACTCCAGACCAACTGAGGTCAAAGATGTCGTCGGCGTTTCTGCATTTCGGCCAAAAAGTCGAGCGTCAACTTTGCAAACAGCAGCTAACTCGTCTGCATTTTATTCCTCAAGGTAATTTAGTTCAACATCTTAACCAGGTTCAAATGATTGAATACGCTGCAACTGGATGCTCATGCAGATTTAGAGTTTAATAAAAAGACTAATGAGGTTGAGAGCACTTTGGTCCGTTTAGCTAATCTACAGATAAAACATCGACTTCCTCTTTCCTGGCGACCAATCGTCTGGCTGAAGAGCCTCGACTGCTCTGCAAAAGGTTTTCCATCAGATGTTGGACTTTAGTTTGCTCGGACACGAATGTTGCAGCTCGGACGGGGTTCTGGTCAAGGCTCTGAAAACCACTTGTTTACGGATCTCAGCTCCACTTGTCAAGATGGAAGCTGAAACATCCCGTAGAGGTGTCCACATACTTTTGGCCATGGAGAACTAGAGGTTAGCCTAAGGAGCTAACGCAGCCTGGATTAAAGCCGATCCGCTACGGAGTCGGTTTAAAGACGTAAATCTGTCGAGTTTGATTCAGGAGGAGTTTCCCAGCCGTGTGTGTCATGGCGAGTACAGAGAGTTATACTGAGGGTATAATACTGCAGTGGTCGGGAGGTTCAGTCTCTGGTTGTTGGCCCCAAGTTTGTGGATGGAGGGTGGAGAAGACGACGGACGATGGAGGAGATGGAGGGAGGGACGAGTGCAAATCTTCTCCTCCAGCTATACCACTGTGCCGCTCGGAGAGTTTCCGTTCTGTGCTGTCAAGTTCTGAACGAGAGACACAAGAACACAAAGGAGAGTCAGACACAAAAGAAAAAAACCCACTGATAAGATGAAACGCTGATGAAAAGGTGAAATCATCCCGAACCGTTGAGTCGTTTCTGAAAAATCGGCTGAAACTCGTTGACGGAAAAAAAATCGGTGAACTTTCAAACTTACCGTGGTTCATAAAAACAGGAAAATGAAACTAAAAACTAGCAGTAAGTGGGCTAATTACAGCTGCATCAGGACTGTCCTGGAATAAATAAAACCGCAGTGGAGGAACGTGGGATGACCTCAATACAGGCGGAAGGTTCTTTACATATTTTAAAGAGCTCAATGTGAGACTTCATAACTTCAAAAAAAGACTCTTGAATCCTCCTTAAACCTCGACACGCTCGTCATCATTTAGCTTAAATCAGAAAAATGCATTCAGCAGCTATTCTGACAATCAATAGTCATTTAAGGTTTCCGCATGTCTTTGAACGCAGCTCCTGGTTCTGTTCATACGTCAACAGGCCCAGAACGTGCGACTGTACGTTGGCAACAGCAGTAACGTGTGATATGTAGCTACGACCTGCTGCTAATGTGTGGAGCAGAGTCCTCCAAGCGAGCCAGTAAAGTAGTTTAAGAACAGATCCACCATGTCTGCAGGCGTCCGTGTGCTTGTTTGTAAGAGTCGAGGCTTTACGGGTCGATCTGCTGCACAGACGGTCGAACGGCAAACAGAACAACACCTGGAGCTCCTGAGGATGTTTCCGAAAAGGGAGGTTTTACACTTTCTACAGGACACAGCAGCTGGTTGCAGATTGGATGATTAACCCGGAGATGAACGTAGCGCGAGACATCTGGAGATCTTAGAAGTTTCCACTGAGTTACGGCACCGTCGACTGAAAGCACGTACGAATCAAAGCTTGCTTCGATTACAGTGAGTTGTAAAGGTCTGGATGATGGAGACTCTCCTGATCTTTTCTCATTTGTTTGAAGCAGCTTCAATCAGCGCAGACAGAAACCACCTTCACAAGTTCTGGCCGTCTGCAGAGGGCTCCTGGTGGACTTGCTCATCACATGGACCCTCGCAGACGCATGGACAGGAAAGCATGAATCGGCCTTTAAGCCTTGATTGTGAAAACACACGTGGAAGGACGCATAGTTGTTGTTCTACTACATTTCTAGTCCATGTCAGTCGGCTTGGAAGACTCTGCTGCATCTGTTCCACTCATGAACACAACTGCCGAGCGTTGTCCTTCTAGTGTAGTCGCCAGATGTTCTGCTTAAAACAAATGTTTGATACGAGGTGAGACTCTACGAGGAGATCCTGCATCATCCACACCTTCAGAAATAACCACTAAACACTGAAGTAGTCACGGCTGGACTTGGGAGGTGCTTTGATTTCAACAAGCTTCCCATCGACGAAGCCCAAGCTCTTAAATCTCCAGACATCCTGTGTTACAGCCACAAACTGCTCAGCTCACCTCAGGAATAATAACATGGTGCTAAAGATGATAAATCTGGAACTAGCTGCAGTTTCCTCGTGTGTTTTTCTGTGTTCGGTTTGAATGGATACACAATCGTATCTACTGCAGCGTGAGCAGAGCTGCATAGCAGCGTACTCGGACATGAGAAGCATGAATTGCCCTTTAGAGGGTTCAGAGAACAAACATGTTTGGTTTCAGCTTCTAAAACTGCTGTTTCTAATCCTCATCACACTCACAGTGAACACATTTTGGACTGCTGGGCTCTGCAGACGTCTTTTCACTGGTACCTCATTGACTACTAATTACCAGAAGCATGACAATCTAATTAAAGAGTAAAACTGGACGTACCGCCTTCCCCGGCCGTGCCCAGGTACAGATGAGGCCTTCCTGGCAGGCTGTGATGATGCAGTCGTCCATGAACACCAGGACCGTCAGCCTCTCGTGTGCGATCTTCTTGCAGACCAGCGGCTCCAGAAGCGGCACCTCGTGCATGCGAGGGCACAGCGTGGTTCCCAGGACCTTGGCGGCGTCCAGCCGGTTGCTCCGCGGCGCCACGTTGATCTTGTCGTTGCTCTTGCTGATGTTGCCCAGACTGTGGTACCGCTTGTGCTCCTTCTCCACCCCACCGCTGCCGCCGGACTTGTCCGACTTGCGCTCCTGCAGCGACAGCGTGGCGAAGCGGCCGATGCTGAAGGGGGTGCTGTTTCCTCCGCCGCTGCTCCCTCCGCCTCCTCCGCTTCCCCCGCTGCCCTCGGAGGCGCCCTGGCCCTTGGAGGCGTTCGCCACCGCCGGGTGGGGCAGGGAGTTGGAGCGCGACAGGGAGCGAGGAAGCGGTAAGGGGAGCGTCGGTGGGTTGGAGGTGCCGGTGTTGGTGTTGGGTGGGTGATGGTGTCCCTCGACACCACCGCTACCTCCCCCACCTGAGGTGCTGTTGACTCCCCCACTGCCAGAGTTGGACAGCGAGGGTCCAAAAGTGTTAGTAAAGGCGCGGGACAGCGGCAGGCGTGGGTACAACACGTCATCCGTCAGGTCCCACAGACAGAACTGGGTGTCCTGCCCAACCGAGCCGAACCGGTACGTGACCGATGCCGAGCCGCCGCCTTTCGAGCTGTGCCGAGAAAGACGCGACAAAGTGCTGCTTGTTCGAACCCGGCCAAAGTGCATGGAGTTATTTGGCGCCCCCTGGTGGAGGTCCTCCTCGCTGCCGCTGAGCTCCATCGGCTCGTCGTCTTCCAGAGAAGTCGTGAAGGGATCAAACGCCACCACGTTGACCCAAGACTTGTGGCCGTGGCCCCTCGCCACCACGCGGCTCTCTGCGAACGACCACACAGTCACCAGATCGTCCTCCCCTCCGGTAGCCAGATATTTACCGTCGGGGCTCCAAGACACGCACAGCAGCCCGCCGAAGTAGCTCTTCATGACGCCCTGCAGCTCCATCGAGTCGAAGTGGAAGACGCGCAGGCAGCCGTCCTGACCCACGCAGGCCACGTGAACGCCGTCTGGGGAGAACGCAAACTCGTTGAGGCCCCCCTCACCCACGGCCCACCGCAACAACGGGTTACGTGGCGTCTTGGTTTTGCAGGCGTAGACGGCGAAGCCTTCGCCCTGCCGCAGCAGAGAGTACTGTGGCGCCGTGGTGCCACACGGGTGGTCCACGTTGTAGAGGTAGAGGTGCCCGCTGGCGTGGGAGGCCAGGAACAGGTTCTCCGACTTAGGAAGCCATTTTAGACACGTTACCTTGGATTTGTCTATCAACCTCTGGAAAACAGAAAGAGGTGGGCAGAAGGAGGAGGAGGACAGGATGGAGGGAGAGATTTAGAGGGAGAAAGAAGGAAGGAAGGAAGGAAGGAAGGAAGGAAGGAAGGAAGGAGGGGATCGGGGAGAGGAAGATATTACAAACACCAGATAGAGTCACCGCAATGTCAGCAAAATATGTGATCGCAAAAACAAAACATGCAGAAAGGAAGCGAGAGAAGATCCACAGAGATCAAGAAACAAACGCGAGCTCCAGCAGAGACTGAAACACGAGAGAGGAAGTGGGAGACGAAGAAAGACAAAGATTTAGAGAAGCAAATCCCAGAGAGGTGAACAGATGCAGGAGACACACAAACACAGAGTCTGCATGCAGCAGCAGCAGCAGCGAACGCACACCTTCGATCTTCTAAATTTAATTGGGAATCCCATTAAAGAGGATCCCATTAAAGAGAAAGAGCCAGTTCAGGAGAACAGAAAGTGAAGCCTGGTGCATTTCTAGGCAACATCACAGCCTCCAAACTGGGGCAGAAAGATCGATATAAAGAATGACAAATTACTTGTGTTGTGTTGCAGCAGGCTTTAATCGGAACAACACAGAGAGCTGCAACCCCGACCACCCCCCCGCCGCCACGCAGGGAAACTAATCAAATACCTCCTCGTTGAAGAGTTTACTGGTCTCCTTCTTGATGGGGTCGAGATACTGGACCTGGCCGGCCGAGAAGCCCACGATTAGCGCTACACTCTCCGCCGTGGCCGAGTACTGGTTGAAGTCGTGGCACGTCGGCTGGGTTCCCTTGTAGATCCTCTTGTCTATCGGCTTGCTGAGGTCCACGGCCTGCAGGCGACAGCGAGGGGAAAGAAAACCATCATGCGCAAGCAAGAAAAGCAAGTTTCAGGGACATTTAGAGGTCTTTAAAAGGGCGCCACGTGTCCCAGAGGAGGCAGAAATCAACAACCTCCCACAGCTACGACCATCTGCTGACGATGTGCGTCACACTCCCGCAACATTTGTTATCTGGTGACGTGTTATTTTTTTCTTTCTTATTTTGACAAACCAATCGAGTGGAGAAAATGAAAAAGTCACATTGAGAAATTTGCTGCGCAGCCAGATCAGGGTGTCAGAGTGAAGCAGGTCTGATTGTGGAGCTGCAGACATCCACCGATCACACAGAGAGAGACATGCATCAGACAGGAGGCAGGGAAAGTGGCCACAAAGGACCCTGAAGGCAACGCGGCTGCAGGAGCATTTCAAGACCGGAAAAACCTGCTCGTGTTATTGGACGGCAAACCGGAAAGGTCGCAGGGAGTCTTTCTGGATTACACCGAAGTCCTGCATGTCAAGGTTCAGGTGGAGTCATAACAAGAGGATCAAACACAATTTACTGACATAGAAAAAGCACATTTTCTCATTTCTGCTGCTTATGTGACACTCAGACCCGTGCTTTTGGTGTCATCGTGCAGAAATCTCCATAAACGTGCCACCAAAACACTTTCCAGGAAACGCAAGGAGAGAATTTCATTTTTAAATCTGAATCTTTTGACTCGTCACAGCAAAGCACAGTTGGACTTAATGAGCTCCAGAACCAACCAGCACAACAGCAGAAACCGTCCTCGAAGTGGAACCCAGACATCGTTAACACAACCTCAGGAAGCCTCAGCGGACGATTAACCGTCACAACGGTGACGTACTTCAGGCGTCTTTTAGCTCCAAAGTAGAGTCTTTGAACGACACCTTTTTTGCATTTAGCCTAAAACCAAAACGTTCCCACAGCGGTGTCGTGGCTTTTCTGGGTTTTCTGGGTTTTCTGCAACTGAAATTCACGACATTAACGCTGAGAGACGCTCCTCAAAACGAAGTCGGGCGAATATCAGAAGTGAAGCGCCGTCAGAGAGAAACAGTCGGTGGAGTTAAACAAAAACGCTTTTGTCAGTTTCATCCAGAGAGTTTGATAAAGGACGATTCTATGAAACGATCAGGTGACGACGTGGTAATGAGCCAAATACATTCCAGTGTGTGTTTGTGCAGTTTGTTTGTTTGTTTGTTTGAGGACGTTTCACTTTACAGCTAAATGCATGACGTCAGTAAGTGACGGCGACGAGGACGAACGAAGCATCGAGTTACGGGTCAGAACCTACTGAAGCTGTTTTCATCCAAACACAGAGTGGACGACTTTTCCAATTCAACCAATAAATAACGACGAGCTGACTGGGAAATGAACCTGAAAACACCATTAAGAACATTTTATCATCCGTAACTTCTGATTGATGACCAGAGATGCGACAGCAGACGTGAGACGACCAACAGGATTCACTGTTTCCACATTTAATGTATTAAAAATGGACTTTTATACGGATATAACTGAGATTCTTGACATCAGTTTACAGCCCATCGGTCACAGTGACAAAGTGAAAATAGGTTCTTTTTGCAAATTAACGTTTATTTTTGTGTTTATTGGTGGATCATCAGTGGAAAGAAATGCATAGAAAAAAACAAACAGGTCTCCAGCTGGGATTCGAAACCAGAGATCTGCAGCTTCCTCGTACATCTGCAGACTGATTGCAAACACAACCAAACCTCACGCTGTCAAAATAAGACGTCTTCTCAAAGCTGCTAGTGTTGTAGAGCCACAGAACCAACATTCATATTCAACAGCAGTTACAGGAGACTCTGGAGTTAAAGAGTCTGGTGGGGAGGTTGGCGGGGCGGTGGACGGGTCAGTACCGGCGTTGTTATTGGCTATTTTAAGTCTCGCTGTTTGGTTCGGTTCAGAAAACGACACCTTTTTACAACGTTAAACACACGTTACGACGCAAACGTCTATGAAACGGAGCAAAAGTGACGACGCCAGCTGGAAACATTCAGGCACGAACTAAAGCCGTCTATTTCTATCAGACCAAGGAGGCTGAAATGTGGACCAAGTGTTCAGATTTGAGTCCCGGCAAAGTAGCAGTTTGTGTTCATTCAGGTGCTTCCTGTTTGCTTCAACAATCCCTGAGACGTTCCTTTAACCCGTCGCAAACCGAACCGATCGATTCGGATCCAACAGTGGAGACAAAAACCAACCGCGAAGTCCACAAACTCATCGACGAAACCGCAGCCAGTTATGAATCCAGAATAAAACCGAGCAAAGTGGAATCAGGAGCTGTCAGATGGAAGAAGTTCAGAAGCAGCAGGACTGAAAACAAGAAGCTCCTCGAACCAGAGAACCGGTTACCGGAACGGGAAGGAAGAATCGGGAAAAAATGCTTCTAGAGACGAGAAAACTTGAATCTGAACCTGCAGCCGAACAGGTTTGTGACTCAGAAAACAGGTTTTCTGTCGTCATTCAGGGGGAACGATGAGAAAAGACCAGTTTTATAGACTCAAATAGAAATAAGACGGAATTTAAACGTGTTTTACGGCTCGATGGAAACGTCTGCAGCTTCTTCTTCCGCTCCTGATCCTACATCTGGCTAAACTGATTATCTTTCGGACGGCCGAGTGAACAAACCGGCGCCACGTTGGACCCTGTTCTGATGAGTTCTGGTTTACTGATGGATGACTCTGTCCTCATCCAGCTGCTCGTTGATTCACATTCAGTCCTGTTCACTCGTCAGTTTGCAGCTGATGTGTTGAGTTGAGGCATCAGAGGAGGATCACACAAAGATGCGTCACTTTGAATCAGGTGTGGACGTGTCAGAGGACGGACTCTAATGATTTCACAGCTCGTCTGCAGGTTCCTTCACAGCAACAAGACCAGAAACATGTGGAGTCTGGTCTCCTGTTGGTCCGGTTCCACATGAGGACTAAAGACCCTGAAGCTGAAGCTGCTCCACTTTGACCTGCAGCCTCCTTTACATGCATTCTGATGGTTCCTCATCAGCTGTAACCCTGAGGACAGCTAGTGATGCTAAAAACAAGCTGTGGACCAGAGATGCTGGAGGAAGCAGCTGGCTGTGGCCTGTCAGCAGCTCTGAGCAGCAGCTGCTGGAGCTCAGGCTGATGGAGCTGCTGATGGAGCTGCTGATGGAGGCTGCGGCGCTAATGAAGGTTTTCTGCATGAAAATCAACAACATGTTGACTTTGAGCTGATTAATAATTCACCTTGCAGCGTCCCCGCTGAGCTGCAGCCTCCGAAGGCGAGCCGAGGAGCAGCTCTCACCGCCGGGACGCTGCAGCTCCGGAGGCTCGGACGGAGCTGCTGTCCGAGCCTCCCGCAGCCTCCTCGGCTCCCCGCATCCGGCCGCTCCGCCAGCAGCAGCAGCAGCAGCTCCATCTTGCGTTGCATAAGAGGCGGAGAGGAGCCGCTCGGAGACACGACGAGCGGCTCCAGCATCAGCAGCAGCAGCAGCTTAGCATGCTAGCATGCTAGCGCTAGCTCACCTTCTTGATGTTGGTGTAGGTGTAGAAGTAGAGCTCCCGGCCGATGTTGAAGCAAACCCGCTCCGACTCCTCGCTCGGGTCCTCGGGCTGCAGCTTCACCATGGAGACGCGCACCGGCGGCAGGAAGCCCGCCGGAGACGAGTTGGCCGCGGCATTGGAGGAGGAAGAGGCGGCGGCGGCAGCGGCGGCGGCGGCGGCCCCGGGCCCCTGCAGCAGCCCGACCCCTCCGCCGGGTATCGGACCGGGGCCGGCCCCGGGGCCCAGCGTGGCTCCGGCGGACGGACCCCGCGGCAGCCCGCCCCGCTGCTGGGAGTCGGAGAGGGTGAGCAGCTTGTAGAAGCCCTCTCTGGTCCGGAACTGGGATTTAATCTCATTGATATCCTTCAGAGCGCCGCCATCTCCGGCCATTTTCAGCACAAACACGCCGCACAGGAAACACGGATTCTGACCTGGAAACGATCACGGAGCGAGCAGCCGCCGAGAACAGGCAGAGTCGAGCCGCAGCAGCACTCCCGGGCCGCTCCGCTGCATGCTACTCCCGCACCGCCGCTGGCTGCCGCATGAGCCCGCAGAGACAGCCCCTCTGAGCCGGTGTGAGCAGCATCCTCCGCCGGGTCTCTGCCTCCGCTCCGCCAGCGTGCGTCAAGTGCGTGTGACGGTGCGTCGCCTGCCGCCGCCGCTGGCCCGAGTCCGGGGGTAAAGAGAGGACAGCCCGCCCCGCTCCGCTCCGGTTACCCCGAGATTAACCCGAGATTAACCCGAGATTAACCCCCGGTGACACCCGGCAGGACCCCCGATCATACCGGGGAATTACACAGAGAGAAAAACAGCCCATAAAAAAAATAAAAATAAAATAATAATAATAGTAATAAAATCTAAATAATAATAATACAATTTCATTAATTAACCTCAACTTATAATAATTATAATAATTATTATGAGTAGTAGTAATATTAATCCAATTTAATTAAGTTGCCTCAATTTATAATAACAATAATTATTATTATTATTATTTTTAGTTGTTGTAATAATAACGACAATCTAGTTTAATTAAGTTCCCTCAATTTATGACAATAACAATAAGAATATTATTATTATTAGATATTTTTGTTATTAGTAGTAATATTATTAATAAGTCAATTTAATTAAGTTACATCAACGTATTATTACTACATCAGCTCCCCCAACAACAACAATTACTATTATTATTATAAAACAATTTAATAAAGTTACCTCAACTTATTATATAAAATGATTATGATTATGATGATTATTATTATTATTATTATAATTACTGCACTCCAGAAGATCATGTTTGGGCTCAACAACCACATAAATGTGATTCTGGTATTTTCTGTAATTTTACAAAAC